TGTGCGTCTAGCCGTCGCCAGTTGAAAGGCACTTCGGGTCGACGCTGTCTTAACTAAAAGTGCAATCTTTTAAAAAAAAACTGGCAGCGGAATTGGACTTATTAATGACATACTGGGCCACAAAGGTGAACTATACATTTTATCTTCCAGTACAATGTAAAGTATAGAGATAATAACTAAAGGAATGATAAAATCTTGAAGTAAGAATTAGAAATTGATGAAGAGAAATGTTCATGTAGCCAGCGAAATAGGAAATATACGGCAATAGTTCCGTCAGTGATGCGTTGCTTTTCATCACTCCTATGTTATTGTGATTAATTTACATGACGACCAACAGCCAGCTGTGGTTGTAAATGCAAGTACTCACGTGGACAACACTAGCGACCTGACATTTGTGGATTTGTGTGAAACCTTAAAAATCGTGAAAAATGGAACATCATGAGAACTTCCGGCAACGAGCGCAGGTTTTTCATGGAGAGCCTTTTTGTTCGACGAATCAGCTGAAACTAGAATGAGAAGATGCATCTGTCTTCGGTGCATATACAGCCTTTAAAATCTAAACAACTTCGACCGTTAGGCGTCCCTCTCGTATCCTATTTCACTCTATCTTACACCCACGTTTGAGGGAACAAACAGTGTTTAGGACGTCCCGGTGACTTGTAATGGGTGTGCCTTATACTCCCGTACTGTAAACCTCCTAAAGGCTTCATCAGTGTACCAGTGGATTCGCGTTATGGAGCACGCGCATATTCAAGTGCTCTTCGCATCCGAGTTTCTCGAAGCTTAGTCTTAGGACCAATCCTATCGCTGACCTATATCGATGACCCTCCACTCGCGCCTTCGTTCGTCAACTCTTGCACAAGAGAAAATCGTTCTGCACTTTGCGGCCATACGAGACCCATCGAAAGATCCTGAAAGACATATTATTTCACGCTGATGTTTCGTCAGTCGCTTGACGAATCCACCTTCTCTGCTTGGAAGGAGGTGATTGTCACGGCAAACTACAAAACTGGTAATCGACTATCGCCCGATAGCTGAAGGCCTTGCGAACAAACTAGCGTGCAGTGCAAATCGCTGGAATGCATTCTAATGTGGGTCGCCTCAGATAATCTTAATATCAATAGCTTAATGTACTCGGTTCAACAGTACTTCCACGAAAACGTTCTTGCGCGACAAAAATGTTCCCATTTATGAAAATCTTAAGCCAAGCTAAGGATGAGAGACTCATATCGGGGGCCATATGTTTTAAAGGGAAGTTCTACACTTGATAAGGGCCTTCCTATTAGACGGCACGATTCGAGTGAAAGTGGGCATGCATTATGCTTCTCCAACTGCATTGGAGTTTCTCAAGGCTCCATTTTGGAACCTGTAACGGTTGCCCAATCTGATTAGGGCATCCGCATCCATTGTCTCCATCGTGATTTGTTTTGTTCCACGTCCCACAACGTGCATCACCAGACAAGATGTATCTTGTCTGGATTGATGACAGCGCCTATATGATCCCTCTCTAAAGGGGGAGTATTTGTAACGCCTACCATTCTGCTTAATTACTCCTCTAGTCAATTTCCCACCGGCACCTACTACCCCCATTCCATTTTGTCTGTTTCATAACCACGCGTCAAAATCGTAACGTGAATACAATATGTCAAATCCTGTTCCATGACTTTTTGAACGACACCAGGTGATTTCACATTGTTTTCATGTCCCATTCATTGCAACGAACTATCTGTAAGGACAGAACACAATCAAGCACACACACGCATCACTCGCGCGTCGGGACACAGACTGACTAAAGCACCAAAAACTGCGGACAACCAGGATCGTGTAGCAGGAAATCTGCCAAAAGAAACACGACTACCTGCACCCAAACGAACTCGGTGGAACTGTTACAATTCACACGCAGAACGATAATTCTTCCGTTTGAACCTTTCTATTTTCGTTATTGTATTGTATTTGCTTACGGTGCACCTAGTTGTTGTAAACTCACGCCCTCAAAACAGGTTTTATTAGTGTCTATTTCTCGCATTCTGATTTACACAATGGAACACCGATAACTGGTGAGCCCGAGTTTACTAGCTATGTCATCACCTCTCATCACGGTAGTTCTCCAACACCCATCACATTCGCACCCAACATGAATGCCGTCTCCGTCCATCTTCCACCGTTTTGGCATCACGATCCCTACATATGGTTCACCCAAATCCAAGCTCAGTTCGCCCTCCGTGGAATCATTCACGTTCTAGCGGTGCTTCCATCAGAGACGACGGCAGACTTGCGCGATATACTGCAGACCGCTGACGACACTAAACCCTACACTCACTTGCGCAAAGCACTCACTAAACTTTGCAGTTTATCAGAGCGTAAGAGACTGGAATGGCTACTCAGCGGTGAATCACTGAACGAGTCCATGCCATCTCAACCTTTACGGATGCTTTATAATATCATGGGGGACAGCAAAATTGATGGCGATTTATTCAAGCAACTTTCTGAAACGCCTACCCTCAGGTGCAAACCATTCTGGCGTCCATCCTTGATAGTGTCCCTTTAGCTGGACTGGCCAGCATTGCGGACAAGACACTCGGAATCCAACCACGTTCTGCTAACGTCTTCTACGGAAACGCCTCAGATTCGGTGCCCGCCCTTCACGATCGTCTCGATCAGTTGGCTGCTATTCAGTCGCAGCTATTCGTATAAACCGACATCAACCGTTTCGTCGCCCGCCTTTTCGTTCACGTTCAACATCCCGGTCACGTTCATCCTCCCGAGAACAGGCATTTTGTCCGCACCACAGTATGTTCGGACATAGTGCTCAGAAGTGTTCACAACCATGTTCTTTCCGACCAAATCAGCCGACTCCTCAGTCAACGTCGGGAAACTCGCGGATCGAACCAGAGGCGACCAAAGTTATAAGCCCAACCCATATAACCCGCCGTCTTACAATCGTCGACAAACCCTCCGGTCTCAAATTTTCAGCATTATCCCTATAAGTGCCATTTCCTGCAGACCCATCTTCTCTTCTTTTAATCTTACCTCCGCGAATGGTTCTCCAATTAAAACTTATGGACAGCGCACTCTACAACTAAACCCTGGGTTACGCCAAGATTTCCCATGGATCTACGTAATTGCTGACGTCCAGCATCCCATTATCGGCGCAGATTTCCTCGCCCATTTCAACCTTTTGGTAGACCTGAGACAACAACGTCTTATTGACTCAAATACTCAGCTGTCTACGAATGGACATTCTATCATTTTACCCTCCATCTATCCAATCACATGTTTTGAAAGCGGCGATTCACCTTATCACGCACTACTACATAGGTTTCCAGACTTGACCAAACCAAATTTCCATGACCCCAAACCAAAACTCTCCGTTGTTTATCACATTCATACGCGTGGTCCTCCGGTTTTTACACGTCCACGCCGTTTGGCTCCAGAGAAATTACACTTAGCCAAAGACGAATTTCAACACACGCTTCAGCTAGGTATCATCCGACCTTCTCAGAATATATGGTTACCAAATGGTTACCAAACAGCCATCTTTCGACTGGTGCCCTTGCGGAGACTATCGAGCACCCAGTAATGTTACCATACCTGATCGTTATCCCACCCCCCACTTTCATGATTTTTCTTCCATATTGCACGGATGCGCCGGAGTTTTCCCACACTGACATTCTCCGTGCTTATCGTCATATCCCAATATATTCCGAAAGTGTTCCTAGAAATGCTATCACCACAACTTCCGAGGTATTTGGATTTTTGCGCATGCATTTTGGCCTTCGTAATGCTGCACAAAAATTTCAACGCTCAATTGACCAAGTACTAAACTGCCTTCTCTTTGTGTTTGCTATCTTGACGACATTTGGTTCCTAGCCACACATCTGAATAGCATTTAGAACATTTGCATACCTTATTGACTCACCTATCTGAACATGGCATGGTAATCAAAATTCGGAATTGCGTTGTTACATTTTCTTCACTGATATTTCTCGGATATGCCATTGACAAGATCGGAATTTCACCAGCCATCGATAAATTAGATGCTATCCGCAATTTCCCGCTCCCTACGTCTGTTAGGCAAGCCAAACTTTTTCTGGGTATGATTAATTTTTATCGTCATTCTATTCCGGGCGCAGTGAAACGTTTGGCACCTGTTAGTTGGAAATCCTCCTCCTAAGCGATATTTGGAACAGATTAAGTGTTTGCTGATTGATTCTTTGAAATTATTTCATCCGCAACCTGACGCCCATTTATCACTTGCTGTTGATGCACCAAACATCGCTATAGGCGCAGTCCTGAAATAGTCGGTTCATGGTGCAATACAACCGCTCGGATTCTTTTTTAGGAAACTGTCACCTACAGAACCCCGCTACAGCACTTTCGGTCGAGAGTTACTTGCTACTCATTCATCTATTCGACATTTTCTCCAGCATCCAAACCACCGCCGTTTCTGATATATGTCAACGACATGTCAGACGTTTTTTGAAGTCCATGTGTCTACTTTTTGCGAATGATTTGAAATCCGGGAGTTCAAAAGTCAGTGCCTTTCTAGTGGGTGTAGACACTGCAAAACATTGATTGTTCAACTGGCAGCTTCCTCTGAATGATGGAATGTGCTTCGATATGCATCTGTAATGTACTACTCATAAGGGTGGAGAAAATCCATTGACAGCCCACGACCGGTTTCGCCCTTCTTGGGGCACATCAGGTAGGCGCAGTCCCTTATGTTCTGCTTGAAACCAAATTGCACGAAATCAGCGAATATACACTGCGATATGTCATTTGGAGGTGACTCGGTAAACGCCTTTGTCTTGCGTGGTGGGAATTAACGAGAGTACATCACGATGACAAACACCAAAAGGATTTGGGTAGGTGGATCTCTTCGGACGTCCTCACCGCATCATAATTAAAAGGCTTAAAAGTCATCCGGCGTTCTACGGATGATTCGACGCACATTCCCACTCATTCTCGCATTATCTTTCAGATACTCAATGAGGCTTGCGTCAGACAGATTTTCTGACTTTTCCAACCCAGTTTTCTACCCAGGACGTAAGGACGTAACCCACATTGATAGTGTTCAACGAGCCGTGAAGAAAATATCTCCCGGCGTTAAATCCGTAGACTAGGAAACTCTTCCCTTGGTGTTTGACATGTTTCCCCTGGAGTATCGTAGCTTCTGAGGAGACCTAATTCTTGCATACGTCCTGTATGAACAAGAAAGGATCAACAGTTATCTTCGCCGTCGACCGAGCTAACACGCGGCGGGGGCATGTTAGGAAGATTTTCAAGCACTGCGACTGCAGCCAAAAAAGCCATATAAAAAAAAAGCCAAACTCGCCATATTAGAAAACTGCTGGCTGGCTTCAAGGTGCAGTCCTCCTCGAAAACGACCCTCTTGGGAGCGCCATCAAATCAAAA